ATGATTTAAAATCTGGCTGTTCAGACCAGGTCATAACTCCAGTTGTCTGCGCATGCACCTCTGCCACTAGCTTGCCACTATTACACATTACTAACTTTGTGTCTCCTTTCTCCCGTAGTGTGTCCTCTCTCTCTCTCCCTGTACCTTTCTGCAGGTTGCCCTGGCCCTGGAGCTCTACATCTCTGACGAGCAGTCACCAGCCACATCGACCCGATCAGTGTTTGATTGTTGTGTGTTGTTGCTTTTCTTCTTTTGTCTCTCCTCTATCCATTCACCCAAACCGGTCGAGGCAGAAGGCCGCCCACCAAGAGCCGGGGTCTGTCGGAGGTTTCTTCCGTTAAAGGGAGTTTTTCCTCCCCACTGTCGCCAAGTGCTTGCTCAAGGGGGATTTGTTGGGTTTTCCCTATGTAATAATATTGATAACAGTAAGGTCTAGACCTTACTTTGTAAAGTGTCCTGAGATGACTTTTGTTGTGATTTGGCGCTATACAAATAAAATTTGATTTGATTTGATCTGATTTTAAAGTGCAAGCGAGACTTTCTTGGTGGTTTCAATATGATCGGAGGAAGAAGGGGTGTGTACTTCAGACGTACTCTGCTCCTGAACTCCAGCCTGAAATCTCCAATTTGTTAAGATATAATGTTACAAATGTTATTTTCTTCATATCTCAGTGTTCACTGTGATGAATTAACCAAAGCAAATTCATATTGTAATAAAATGTATGTAAATCAATCAATAAAAAACAGAAAAGCAGGAACGTTACATAAAATAAAAAGAAACATTAACATATGTACTGTACACAATGTGCAGTAAGTGGGGAAAAAACTGCTAGATCATTTAAAATACTGAATCAAAGGTGGATTTGTTGTTTATCCTAGATGCAACAACTCATACAACAAATCATGAACCTACCAACATCTATATTCACAATACCTTCTATTCTAATAAGAGAGTAAACCATCTGTCTGCAGTCAACAGTACAGCGTACGCTCAGTGACTGATAGCATAGCTATCACACATTCAGGCACATCTGTCAAACAGACAGAATATCGATTTCAGGATGTGAACTCAAATCTCAGCTCAAAAAGACTTAATGCAGCACAAACAGAAACGCCACATGTAAACATGCTGGCATAGACGACTGAGTCACAGACTGAGTGTCAGCTGTTTTGTAATTCAAACATCTGTCCTCAGTAATTTCTGAAAAACACCAGATTGTTTCTGTTACACAAGCAAAATAAACAGCCAAGCAATTATGAGAAATGTGAATCTGCACTGGATCTAATTCCATAGTTTTCAAAGCTGCTGTTCCCTTCCCTTTCTTCTTTTTTAAT